ATATCATTTCACAGATATACATTCTTTTTGTTCCATTTTGACCCTTTTGAGAGACTGAATAATCAATCTACAGACATGCATCGCATGTTGAAAGTGACACACTGATAGTGCTTCAATGTTAGGAACATTCTTATATCAGTCGGCTATGACATACAAATATTTGCTATAATCAATACATTTTGTGGGTAGCAGTGTCAAATGACACAGTTACTCAGAAAACGTGTTGATCAAAGCAAACTTTAGGAGCTGTGTCAGACTGCACAGATCAGAGCAAATGTAAAGTTGAGTGTGTCAACACAGACAATTGAGAAATGTTTACTTTTACCAGGACTGTGGGCATGCATACCTCTGATCAGACTTTCACTTACTCAATAATGTTGTTGTGCATGTCTCCAATGATGATGCAAGAGAGTTACCTGGGAAGGTGGGATCAAATGGCACTCTGTCGTGTTTGCTGATGTGAGCAGGTTCTACCTTCATGCAAATGGTTGCTTGCATATGTCACATAGAGCTGGAGAGAGACATTTTTTTTTATTTATTTGCCTATGACACATGACTGAATATTGATATAATAATGCAAGTGTGTCACAAGTTGCAGTTTTTGCTGTTTGTAGAGAGAACATTGAACAGTACTGTGTATTTCCAGAACATTGTTCAACCCTGTTTGCTGCCATTCCTGTATCACTATTCCAGCAGGATAATACCTACCTACTTAATGTTCATGCTACTCAACATGGTCTACAAGATTTTGGACAACTTCCCTGGCCAGCCAAATACGTCTTTCATTGAGTATATATGGAACAATGCCTGGCTTTTTCTCTTAGCTCACCTGCAGCTTTTGCTATCATGTATCAGTAGATGCAAGAAGTGTGAAATAGGAAATACCATTTTGGGATATATTATCTTAATTGTCATATACATGCAAGAGTACAAGCCTGAGTCAATGCCCAAAGAGGATATCATCTTTTATATATCATGTCCCTTAAAAACATACATGGCCAATCATGGCTCTCTACATCTTCCTGCCCCTTGTAGTTCTAAGCAATGACTCTTTGCCTTTCCACTCTCCTATCCATTCACCCAAACTCATTAGTTAAGTTTTGTTCTGTTTCTCTCCATCCCTCTTTTCCTCAATAAGTCCTGTGGGTGTTAAATTTTCCAAACAGTGTATTAATATGGTGGAGGAGGCTGACTACTTTTTTTAAATGCCCTTTTATTTTGGCATCTGAGCATGTATTGATCTACATCATTTACTGTAATCCAACTATATCCTCTGTACACTTAATCTTGAATAAATTGATTCCTCTATCCAGGCTTTTCTAATTTTTATTTTCTCTTATAGTTTTAGTTTGTTTACATCACTTTTTTTTTTTTTTTTTTTTTTTTAAAACTTTAATTTTTCTCAGTATCTTTTATTTTCGGTGTCATCAAAGTACATTGGTGTACAAAAAACAGTTGGAGTTGGAAGCTGCAGAAACAACAACCAATTAAGTTTTTTTTTTTTTTTTTTTCAAATGCAACAATTTTTGTATGTTTAAGAGAAAGCAGCTGAGTAAGAAAATGAAATGTGATGTTGTGGTCTCTAAACTATTGTATGGATTTATTACATATTTCATCAGTCTAAAGAAGACTTTGTCTAGGCAAAATGTTGGTGGGGGGCATATATAAGTTTAATGTAAGTTTCTTTGTCCATTTTCAGGGTTGAACCATTTAAATAGTTACACTGAAACATTATCTGATTTGGTCAAATTCAGATTTAGTTTCTAGTTTTATTTCAACTAAATTTATGAGAATCACTACAAGTTTGTTTATTAATCATGAAACAGTAGATAAAATATATGATAGAAAATGGTCAAATGGTTCAAATTCTGGTTACACTCATCTCCTGGGAAATGCATGAGTTCATCTCTCCCTGTACTCTATTCCAGTATCACATATTTTGACAGTCTTATCCTTGGCATGCCACAATTGGTAAAGGAAAAAAAGTATGTGTGAGTATTTGGTAAAACATTTTCTTATAAGAGCAGCCACAACAAAAATTATACCACCCATTCTTAACCTTGACATGCCAGTAAAGAAAAAAATACATAGGCATGCCACTATATTTTAGCAACTTGAAATTTTTTTTAACATAATTATCCTGAATTTTCTAGATTGCTAGATGAGATTACACGTCTACAGATGACATCTTCAGTTGGTAATGTTTTGTTTATTTTGCTTATAATTAACTTTAACAATAGATCTCCAGAGTAATGTTATCATGTTCTCTGTAGTAGTCAGAAATGAAAATGGCAGTTCATTTAATTCTAAGAGATGGTTAATTTATTGATAAGAATGAATAACAAATGGAAGGTCAGAAGAGAATTATTGAATTTGGATTGACCTGTTCTTATTTTGTCTTACAAAACTATTTCTCCATGAAAACTTTGAAACTGGTGAAAAGTGTAAGGGATTGTGGTGACAGTGATGTCTCACTGGGTTTCTTTCCCTCATTATGATAGATTTCATGTGAGCGCTAAGCTGTTTTCTGCTTTTTGAGTTGACTTGCAACAGCATTGCCTCACCCTTATGCTATATTAGTAGAGTGAGTTTGACTCGCTTTTTATTCAGGGCATTAACAAAGAATCCTCAATATTGCCTGTGATCAGAATTAAACCATTTGACTTTTAGCAGGTTGACCTAAAAATAATGATTTTATTGATCAGAATAGGACTTAGAATATGAAATTATTACTATTATGAATCTTTAAGATATTTATAAATTTTTCCAAGGAGTTTAATATGAATGACATAAATACATTCCTTAACTGATAAATCTACATACTTTTATTTTAATAGCATAAAATTACTTTAACCAGTTTTGCTCAGCCATTAACTGTCCTGGGTATGATAATAAACTACATCTGGCAGCAAGGCCTCTTACTGGGAAGTTTTGAGAAGCATGGAACCACTTCTTAATTGTTGCTGTTCCCAGGTCCAACTTGATTTGGAGTGGCAACATCTGTTAGGGTCCTAGCTATGGGCAAATAGTTAATCCTCCAAACGGGGGTCAAAACACTATAAAAGTATAAAAATACATTTTTATAATAAAGATATCAGCAATGCATTTTTGTAACAGAAATTACTAATGCTCCCATGAAAATTAAAGTTTGGCATTAAATGACCCATAAGAAGTTATGCCTCTAAACAAACAAAACTCTTTTGATAAACTTTTTTTTTCAGTTGATTTTGATGAGGATTTGTACTAAGGACAAACTTGGAGAAATTTATCAGTTTTTCATATTTCATTTTTTTTGTTTCTTTATCCATTTCTCATATTCCTAGTCTTCAGTCAGATGCTATAAAATACATTTACTGTCAAAGTATGTCAGGTATTTCTATTTTTTAATGTTTTTCTCTGTTTTTCTTATGGAGTCAGAGAGCAGCATGCCAACTATATGCACCACAGCCAAATGTGTGTGTGTGTGATGAGGTGAGAGGTTTTGATAAAAGCAGTGCTTAAACTTGCAAATGGAGCCAAGTTAGAATTACTTTCAGGTTGGTAACCCAGTTCACTTGGTCTCCAATTGAGGGTGTACCCCAAGTATCTAGATGTGACTCCCAAGTTGCCGTGTCTGTCTCAAACTTTTAACCTTGCTGAAACAACCCTCTCTTCACGTGGGAAAATCCCCCCTCCACTACACCTGCTCATGAACAGATGCACAGTGTGTTTGTCAGCCCATGGGGGATATGCTGAACTGGATACAGTCAGGAAACTGACTAGCAAATGTGTCGTCCTAGACAGGATATTTAGTGTAGATCATCTTAATTCACTAAGACAAAACATGTACATGTTAACACCTCTGATCAGTTAAGATCAGATGCCATGTCTGACATAGCATAAGTGCCTTTATTATTAGTATTTATAATAATCATCAAAACATATAATAATTATTGATGTGTATTTACTTATGTATTTCCTGTCCCATCTGTAGTAGAAAGAAAGGTAAAACAACTTAAATTAGTAAATTTAATCATTTTTAATAATCCATACAAATAAAATATTTATTTGCATTTAGACAAAATTAGTTCCCAAGCAAAATAAACCATTTAATTAATCAGTTCCTTTACTCCTGTGCTTCTTAGATTGCAGTCTTATTTGTTCAAGTCTTTTATGTGAGGCACTCTGATACCTTTTGTTTATTAAGTGATTGTCATGCTTTAACTTGGTCTTGAAATAGGCTTTGTAGTTTTTTTGTTAATCTTTTTCTTCTGAAAGATATTTCGATTTCGCTATAATATTAAACATGTAGCATTGTTAACATAAAAAGGTATTGAGCAAAAAGTGATTTATACAATACCAAGAGTAATCAACGAATAATAGATACCATTGAACGTCTAAAAATATATATATATATATATATATATATATATAAAGAATGGATTAATTAAACAGTTCATTGGCCTCTATTTTAATTGTGAATTCTATATCTTCACTTTATTGAATTTCAATACATTGTTTTAAGACTTGTTGCATTACATCTCACTATTAAAACTTTCTAACAATTGCATGGGTACACTAGCAATAATAATTAGTAATAAACAAAATCTAATGTCTTAAAATTTTCATTGAGAATTTTCATTGAGAGGAAAAAAATTACTCAAAGATTTCTCATTTTGAGTGTCTATTGGGTGGGGAGTGAAGAATAATTAAGTGTGTTACCATTTTGTCCTCAGCATTAAAGAAAAAATTGTACTTCAAGAAATGAAAGTACTACAGAATGACGTTAAAGGAAATGGACAAACATTGTTCAGTATTTCAGAAATTGAAGTAATCACATCTGACAAAAATGTTGTCTCTCGCTCATTTAAATATGAGTCTGATGACACATTTTAAAATAGCCGGATATTCTTTGGTAGAAGTCTTAAATTGTGTCATGGATTTCCTTTGTTAATCTGTAAAAAATGAAAAGAACATTTTCAGCCTTTTTTTTTTTTTTCTTTTCATTGGAGGACCTTGTGATGATTAAAACAAGACAAAAAAGTCAGCCTGGTGTGTTCTTTTCTCTCTATTGTGCACTCTCTCTCTCTCTCCTCTTTCCCTCTTTTCCTCTCTCTCTCCTCTTTCCCACTCTCTCTCTCTCCTCTTTCCCACTCTCTCTCTCCTCTTTCCCCTCTCTCTCTCTTTTTCCCTCTCTCTCTCCTCTTTCCCTCTCTCTCTCCCACTCTCCTCTTCCCTCTCTCCTCTTTCCCACTCTCTCCTCTTTCCCACTCTCTCCTCTTTCCCACCCTCTCCTCTTTCCCACCCTCTCTCTCCTCCCTCTCTCTCTCTCCCTCTCTCTCTCTCTCTCTCTCTCCCCTCTCTCTCTCCTCCCCTCTCCCTCTCCCTCTCTCCCCCCTCTCTCCCCTCCCCTCTCTCTCCCTCTCTCCCCTCCTCTCTCTCTCCCTCCCCCTATCTCTCCCTCCCCCTCTCCCTCCTCTCCTCTCCCCCCTCTCTCCCTCCCCCTCTCTCTCTCTCTCCCCCCCTCTCCCTCTCTCTTCTCTCTCCCTCCCCCTCTCCCTCCTCTCTCTCCCTCCCCCTCTCCTCCCCTCCCTCCTCCCCCTCTCTCTCCCTCCCTCTCTCCCTCCCCCTCTCTCCCTCCCTCTTCTCTCTCCCTCTCTCCTCCCTCCCTCTCCCTCCCTCTCTCTCTCCCCTCCCCCTTCTCTCCCTCTTCTCTCTCCTCTCCTCCCTCCCCTCTCCTCTCTCTCCCTCCCCCTCTCCCTCCCTCTTCTCTCTCTCCCCCCCCCATCTCTCTCTCTTCTCTCTCCCCCCCCCTCTCTCCCCTTCTCTCTCCCTCCCCTCCTCCCTCCCTCTTCTCTCTCCTCCCCCCCCCCCCTCTTCTCTCTCCCTCCCCTATCCCCCCTCTTCTCTCTCCCCCCCCTATCTCCCTCCCTTCTCTCTCCCTCCCCCTATCCCCCTCCCTCCTCTCCCCCCCCTCTCCCTCCCTCCCCCCCCTTCCCTCTTCTCTCTCCCTCCCCCATCTCCCTCCCTCTTCTCCCTCCCCCTCTCTCCCTCTTCTCTCTCCCCCTCCCCCTCTTCTCTCTCTCCCCAATCCCCCCTCTCTTTATATATATATCTCTATATTATCTTCCTCTCACTCTCCTTTCCTCTCTCTTTCCTCCCCTTTGAAACTTCCTTCTCCCCCCTCTCTCAACACACACATTCTCTTGATTATTTTCCTGTCAACTGATAGCTCTTCCTCATAACTTCAGTGTGATATTTTATATTGCCTATTAGAAATTGGAAACAAAACATTCATCTTTCTCTCTTTCTCATCTGTTCCTCACACAACAGCCATTAATCACTTGTTATCCTCTTGATCATTCTCCAGATTTTACTTCCTTTTTCTCAAACTTGACACCAACTACAAATTGGCCTGATGATGAATTTGCTTTAAACATGTGAAAAGGATTGGCTACTTTTTCAATTTTTTTAATTTTTTTATTTTTTTTATTTTTTAATTCAATTGTCTAACTAATTATCCTTACTTCAACATTACTCAAATTAAAATATTTCCTTTATATATATATATATATATATATATATATATATATTTTTTGGAAGTGTGGGTGGCTTAATGGTTAAGACCTTGGAGAATAGAATTTGCAAACCTTGCACAAACTTCTGCAAGGACTGTTTCTGTTTACTCTGTATTAACAACTTAGTCTACCACACTGGCCCTGTAAAAATTCACTTGTCTACTGAAAGCATAGCAATATCACAGCTTAATCTAGTTGCAGCTCCACAAGGGGCCTGAAAAAATAAGATACAAATGTAGTTATCAGCAGCAGCATTGCAGATTTGATAGAAAAAAATAGAAACAAAATTGGCTTAAAAGAATAAAGAAATTGACTGGTGTTTTTATTCAATATTGACCACCAATTACAACGTTATTTCTGAGAGAGAAACTTATTAATGGCCTGAGGTTTTGATATTTTGCGATTATACCAGTGAATAATTCATTTTTGTTAGGAAAAATAAAGAATGCTATTATCTTTGAGATATAGTCAGCCAAGAATCTATTTGTTGATTGTCTTGAAAGTTTGGGAGTGTCATTTTGAGCCATCTTTGATTCAATCTATGCTAAAATTAGCGCCAAGTGAATCTATACAAGGTAATTTGAAATTTTATGCTATTTATCAATATTTATTGCTTATCGCTTTCACAAACATGAAGGCTATTTTTTTGATATTTATGCTGTTCACTTTCCTTCAATATCTGTCTTATTTAGATGTGAAATCCGAGTTCAATACCTTTCAGATTTAAATGTTCAAGACTAGTTTTTTACAAAAAGCCTTGGATACTTTATTCTAGAAACAGATAAACCATTTGCTGATCTTCACTTAAGTTATTGTAATGTATGGCAAGAGGGTTGAAGTTGGGCAAAAACATCTGATTACTCTCTTCACAATTATGGGAGTAACAAGAAGAGAGCAGAAAAAGACGGGAGATAACAAAATAACACTGCCTTGGAAACCACAGTGACTATAAGAACAAAATGTCCATGGGACCAACTTCACAAGACATTGTGTCTTGCATGAAGCATCTTATAAAGAGCTGGATCTTGACTAGTTGTAGAGAGATCTGTATCTAGACATATCAGCTGTCCTGCTGCTAATGGAGAGAACCTGGATGTAACTGGTGTTGACATTTGTTTTAATCAGTATCACCCCATGCAAAGCAGTAAAGCTAAGACACATGGTTACAGGGTGTGAAAGAATTAGGAACAGAAACATTAATGAGCAGGAAGAAGAAAGAGTAATCAGGAGGACAGTAAATTTTTGCAGATTAAATTTGGCTGGAAAGCATGGAGCCAGAAGGGAGTTCCACAAACAAGAAAAGAAACTGTTAGCATAGAATTTAGTTACGTCTAGCCAGCTCAATTGTAAATTGATGTGAACTTGATGCCAGTCTAGTACTGCACTTTAAAAAGTCTAGGTACCATAGCGAATAGCTTATCTGAAGAATTACCATGAAAGTATTTATAGAAAAGGCACAGAGAGGCAACCTTATGGTGGTGGGAAAGTGATCTGGGGTCTCATTTGTATCTATCAATGTTCATTTGCCACAGTTATTATGGTTGTTGTTGTTTTGAAACTTTTTAAAATTTTATCTTGCATTTTTTGCTGTCCCTTTTATGGTGAAAGTGCCATTAAAAAGAAACTGAAGTGGACAAGAAATTTTCTGAAGAGAATAAAATAAGGAAACATTGGCAGAAGGGCTTTTGATGAAAGAAAAGCTCTTAAATTCTTTGGGTTCTACTGTGTATATATGTTTAGGTGTTGATTTAAGTTTTGAAGAACTGAATGTAAATTTTTATATTTAAACAATTTTGCAATCATATTAGTGATTTTTTTATAAATTTATTTTTTATAATTTCTTTCCAAGCAGGGTGAGAAAGCCACTAAGATGCAAGGGATTATTGAGAGTGAAAGAAACGGAAGACAATAGTGCAACACAGTTGTCTCCTGCTTGATTGGTTAGGATATCTATATAGTCAAGTGGTCTCTAAATGATTTTATCTGGGTTTGGAATGTTCAACAATCATATGACTACTGCTTATGTTGCAGGTAAAACCTAGATGTGAGAGATTCAAAGCAACTAGCCACTGACAATTGTACAAATAAATAAATTAAAATGTTTTGAATCAAGTACCACTTGATCAGAAGGTAGTGAATGTCAGTCATGGGTTTATACAGTGTGGTTACATCTTAGGTAAGGGTCTGTTAGGAGCAGAATCAGTCATGTTTAGAATAAGGATATAGTCAGATGAAGTTTTCACTGGCTGAAGAGAAGTTCTAATCCATTGGTCTGTTGTAAGAGAAGACTGAAGTAGCAACGAAGATGTCTTAAGTGTCACATACTCCCACCCCCAGACACCCAGGTGAATTGACTGATGAATAAAAACATTGTTTATCAGAAGCTCTTGTTTTTCTCACCAAGGAAATGTGTTAAGATGGTCATATTTATGAGTTTTGTCCCTATGTAATATCTCTACACTCGTTTTCTTTGTTAAAAAGAAACTGGGCCTTTCTCAGTTTTCTTCACACTAATGCAAACAGGAATCAGGCCTTGGTGAGGTTGATGAAAAGGTGCTGAGAAACCGAACCATTTTGTTTTATCTTGTATCCTGTTCTTGTATTATTTATCAAGATAATTGTCTTTTAATTTAAACTTTGTGTTGATTAATATCATACAAATTTCTGATGTAGTTCCCAACAAGGAAAAAGTGTCTAAATTTGTGTAAACTTCCATGAAAAATGACAATGAAGCTGGTTTTTGTTATAGACGAACAGAAAAAAAAAACAAAGAAAAAATACTATGTTAAATTTAAAATTGTGTTTCTGATATTAAAGTTTTATATTGAGGTGTGTGAAAAATAAATAGCTGTCAACCCCAGGGAAATCCTCTTTCTTTTTTATTATTATTATTATTGTTGAAATCTTATGTCACTTTGTGTTTCGTTTTGCACAGCAATGTGACTTTCTGATACATTCTCTTATTAATAGGAGTATTATTGTGAAAAGACCAGCACTTAGTACATTTACGTCTCTCTTTCGACCTTTGATAAACAAATTAAAGGAAAATGCCCCTCTTGGAATAATTTCCCCAATGCTTGTATGCGGTTTGCCATTGCTGTGTCCAATGAAGCTTAAATAAACAGCTGTTGACTGGCTGGCTGAGAAAAAAGAAATATTAGATGTTTGAAAAGTTTAGTTTTTGAACTTTTTTTGTTTAGAATCAATGCTTGTTTACAAATCTGTTTTTGGAACAGCTGTATGTGACCTTCTCAAAAAGTAACACAAAAATGATATTGGCCCAAATAGTTTGGTTAAATTTTTGTTGCAAATAGCTTTCTTTGTCTTGAGCATTTGAATTGGTTTTAGATTTTCAACACTGTGTACTACTTGTGCAGATTGAAGATTTATTTGTTCTGTTGACCTCTTGAAATGGCATGCATCAAATCTTTGTAAACAAATAACATTGTCAAAGTTGGGGTGGGGGGAATCTTGCATATTTAATGAGATGTCATAAAAAGCCAATACATCATTAGATAATCCTCATGGAGATGTTGATGTGCCATTAAACAAGATTCAGAATCAGAAGTCCTAACTTGGCTTGTGTTTAAAACTGAAATGTTCTTGAAAAATCAACATGCAATAGCAGTACTCATGAAAATTTTGGTGTTCCTATTTGAATTTTCTGATTTATCACAATATTTAATGAATAAATAAGCTCATTGTTAATTCTACAACTAAAAAAATACCCATGGAAATATCAGTATTGACTTGTTAAATATTTGAGCTTAACAACTTTATCCAAATATTGCAATAACAATCATAAGTAGAAATGTGAGTTATTATTAAAGAAGTAAGAGGGTACAAATGAAAAGATTTAAAATTGACAAGTTTTTCATTTCAGTCACATTTAAACACATGAGAGCATTATTGCCTATCTTCTTGCTTTTTCTATTTCTAACTGAAGCCAATCAGTATATCAATTTTTTCCCCCCTCTGTCTTTGCCATTATAATGGATTAGTTCATTATTTATGAAGCATTAGCAGGGCATTGTGTGTGTGTGTGTGTGAACTAAGGAGCAAGCAGAATTATACAATATGCCCATTATATAGGACTCTGTGTGCCATTGGAATGTTAATTTACTCCTTTTTTTTTCTTTCTCTTTGTCACCTTGGTGCCTTAGGAATTCTTCAAGCTTTGAGATAAAAAACATCAAAATTTGATTTTAAGACTTAATGTCATGAACTGACTCAATCTTTATGTCTCTCCTCTCAAGCATTCAGTTGCATTAAAAAAAGAAGAAAAAAAAACAAAACAAAAAGTATAGTTATTATCTAACCTTTAATGATAATTAATTATGGATTTCTCACAAGAATTTGAATTCTGTAATTTGCACATGGTAACAATTCATAAAGATGATCATGTATTGCATTTGTGTTTCTAATCAGATATATTTGTCTGTGGTCAAACAAATATGACTAACTTGGTGGATTAGGATCTTGTTGTTGACATACTATTTTATTTAGAGATAGAATTCTCACCAATCCTGTGACTGACATTAAAATATTTCTGATAAAATTTATTTAGCTCATTACCTGTTACACCTGAAATGTCTTGTTCCACTCACCAAGTTAATTGTAAAGAGGAAGACCGAGGACTGTGAGGTCAGAAGATTTATGCCAGGTGT